TTACTGTGTTTGACTGAAAACATGTTGATCTCTCACCTGCTCAAATAAGGCAACATTAGTTTTAAGATTTATTTACTGAGCTACTATGAGTGAAAAGATAAACTAACTGTTTTAAGTTTAAAGGCTTTCCCTTTTTCTGACCTAGTTAGAGATCTGAATCTCCCTCCCTGTCCCAAGGAAAGCAGTAATAAAGACAAAACAAATGTCCACCAAAGTCACTAGTACTTCACACAGCTGCCCTTGTGACTTCTAAAGTGTCTGCATTCCAATTCTACCCAGCCTAGAACAGGTAATGAATGCAGCGCATCAGTAGCAAAGAGTGATCCAAAGCACATTCTGTACCTTCCTTGTGACTTTGGGAAAACTACTCAACCATTCTGTACACAATTTCAGCACCAGCACAGTGACTACAGGGGTGTAGGGTGGGCTCACTTGAAATCTTTGGCTTCTTAGTGGCCCCAATCCTCCCAACTGTGGAACATGACAGTGTTTACCTCATCTTTCTGCTACTTGAACCTCAGATTTCCCATGAAAATTTCTCACTGACCATGATGTCTGTCTTAGTTAGGGTTTCTATTGCTCTGAAGGGACACCATGAGTACAGCAGCTCTTATAAAGGAAAACATTTAATTGGGGGTGAGGGCTTACAATTTCAGAGGTTTAGTCCATTATCATGGAGGGACATGGTGCCATGCAAGCAGACATGTTGCTAGAGAAGGAGCTGAGAGTTCTACATCTTGATCTGAAGGAAACAGGAAGTGAATTGTGTACCATACTGAGCATAGCTTGAGCATAGGAGACCTCAAATCCCACTCCCCAGTGACACACTTCCTCCAAGGCCACACCTATGCCAACAAAGCCATACCTCCTAGTAGTGCCACTCCTGTTGGGGGCCGTTTTCTTTCAAACTACCACAGTCCCCATCTCAGTAGTTCCATGTCACTTTTCATTGGGCCTCTGATGATTGACACCATGCCTCCAAATTCTCTAACTTCTTAGAGTATTTTATTTCTCCTCTCAATATTATTTCTTTGGGGAAGCCTTCTATGGCCTTCCCAGGCAAGAGTAATTGCTCCTCTAGTCAAGCATCTCCTAATCCCCTAAACCCTTTCTTTATAGCACTGAGAATTTGTAGCTATGGAGTTAGAGAATGCTCAATAAATATGCATCTCCTATTGCAATACAAGTTCCTTGAAGAGAGAGTCAAAATCCATTTTGTTTACTGTCATAGTCAAATCATAACAGAGTTGTTAAGAAAATGAGTCAACTAATTTTAGAAGGAAGAAGTCTAGTTTTCAATACAGGGAAATGTGGCTCATCCCAAATTCAGTTCCTTTGACTTGAAAGTTCTGTGTTATCTTCAGGCATCAAATTTTCATTTATACAAATCATATGGAGAATCATGCAATTACTATTGGGTAAGCTTTAGAATGACAAGTGAAAGTCCAAACTAAAGATAATAGGCTTGAATGACACAGTCTGTGAGGACTAGGTCTCCCTGAGGAACTGATATTTAAACCCTAAAGGAGGAATTAGAATAGGCAGCGAAAGGTGCTCTGTGGGCTTCAGGGAAAAAGAAGCACTTCTGCAGTAGTCTGGTGATGGAAAGGCACGAAGGCTAGCATAGTTGTAAGAGGGACAGGGGAAGTGAGAGGCTGAGGCTGACGGGAGCCAGGGCTGGGTTGTAGATGCCTCTTGTACAAGGGGTGAAATTTCTTCCTTAATTAACAGAAGAGTAAACTAGTGAGGAGCTTTAGGTAGGAAATAAGACATAAGACAATACTGACTGCACAATGAGTGATTTGAGATTGGGAAGGCTTAGTGAGTGGTTGGAGATGGGTCAGGACAGACATGCAAAGATGATGCTCAGACAGTAACATTGTGACCACTACCAAAACAGAAATATAAGCAGGAAGCTCAAGATCATAATTCAGCTAAGTATATAATAAATTCTCAATATCAACAATTGTTGATTTTTATGATGATGTTATTAATAATCATTAAACAGCAGTTGTTGGTTTTTTCAGGAAATGGTGTTCCTACTTTGTGTGACGGTACTTGCAAATTTGGTGTCTAACAAAGGCAGTTCCCCTCATCCAATCCTCTTCACACGCACGCACGCGTGTGTCCCCCCCCCCATGCACTACACATGCATGCACACACCCACTCAGAGACTTAATTATTTATTGAAACAGTGTCTCATGCAGCAGAAGCTAGCGTTGAATTTGTTATATAAACCAGGTTGGCCTTGATCCTCTGTTCTTCCTGCCTCCACTTCTCAAGTGCTGGGATTACAGGCATGCACACTTTACCATGTCCAGAAGGTGTTGGGAAGGGTAATTCCAAAGGGCGAAGAGAGGGTAAATTTAAGATAATGTCTGAGGAGCCCAGGTGGTGGTGGTGGTGGTGGTGGTGTGGAGGAGAGGGAGGCTTTCTGTTTCTTGACTACCCATCTCCTTTCCACAGATAAAAATAATTTTAGATAAGAGAGTAGGGTTAAGACCAAAAATGTGTGCTAACTAAAAGGCTTCTGAAGTATAGTGCTATGGGAGACTGAATAGGGAAAATCAGCCTTGGTTTTCTTTGTGGACTGAATGGTGCATTAATATAGATAGTAAAAAAGGATTTTCTTACAAACTGGGTAAGGGTACAGTAAGAAAACAGATTAGGAAGTACATCTAGAGCTCTGATTTTACAGAAACTAATTTATGTTTTATTGTTATACCTATGTTTTAGTAATATATCTTCGCATTATGCTATAATTTATCTTATTCATTTGCAACCTATTCATGTAGTTAAGAGTTTCTATTACAATGATTATGTGGCAGTGTTGAGAGTGTATCTCACTTGAATTTTGCTGAGCTACCATTGGCTGCAGGCTCATGTGTGGAGGTGGCTAAGCCTTCAAAGTGTGATGGGTTCATGCCTTTGTTCTTAAGACATGCAAGGGAAGCAAAGACCACATAGGATAAGCCACATGGTGATAATAAGAATCAATGCTCACATTATCCTGTTCATTCTGGTAAAGATCTAGAGCACAAGAGATGTATGGCAAAGTGTTCATTGCACTAAAGAGCACATCCATTTCAGAATCTTGAGCCCTAAGGCAAGAAATCTTCTATTCCAACCGGCTGTCTTATAAGAAGACATCTATACAGCTACAGCAAAGGACAAACCCAGATTGTTTGGCCTATTATTTAAAAGCTACAGCAGCTCTTGCTCCATCTTACACATGTCTTTTCAGGATCATTTCAACACAATCATACAACAATGTACACATCAGCAAACTGCAAAGGAGTCTTTTTTTTTTTTAAATAAGATTAATAATACAAATGATGTTAAAAATAACTGACATTCAGGGCTGGAGAAATGTCTCGGCCATTAAGGGCATGGATTGCTCTTCTAGAGGACCTGGGTTCCATTCCAGCACCTACAGGACAGCTCACAGCTGTCTACAACTCCAGTCTCAGGGGATCTGACACTGTCTTTTGGCTTCCTTGGACACCAGTCGTGCATGTGGTAAACAGACATACACACAGGCAAAGCACTCATACACTTACAAACACTTTAAAATGGACTGTTGGATGTACATTTTACTTATATTAGAATACTTGCAGTTTACAGTAGAACTGACAGAGGTGCTTAAAGTATTTTAATGATTTTATTTCTTTTACTGTTATGTTTATTAAACAGCAATAGCAGTATTAATCTTTGACAACTCCCCCACCTCCTCTGTGTGTGTCTCTGTGGGTTTATGTAGGCCAGGTCAACATGTGATGTTTTCCACTAACCTGTCTATCTTAATTTTTGGAGGCATGATTTCTCACTGGCCTAGAGCTCACTGATTAGCTAGACTGGCTGGCTAGTGAACTGGCTAGGAAACTCTGTTTCCTAATACCCCAGTGCTATGACGACAGATGCACATAACTATGCCTGGCTTTTTACACGGGTGCTGAAGATCTGAACTCAGGTCCTCAGCCTTGTACAACAAATGTATTACTACTGAGTGATTTCCCCTTATTTTCTTGTTTCAAAACAAACAAACAAACAAACAAACAAACAAACAAACCCAAAACCTAACCATATATACATAGGTCAAAAATGAATATCTTCACTGCTTTGGATATTGATATTTTGTGATTTTATGTCTGACCTGGCATAATTTACTAAGGTATAAAAAAGTACGCCAATTCAATATAATAAAATGAGCCAGAACTGAATTATTTCAACATTTGTACCTATTGCTCATTATATTAACTAATTCTCATTCATATTATTGTAAGAATTACCACTTTCTGACACTGGGTATGGATAAGCCATTTTTATTATTATCTAGAAATTCCAGAAACAGAACTCACCCCACATTGTTAGTGACACGGGCATGGGCTTGAAAATCAAACTATGTGTTTAGCAAAATGTCTCCAGTGTTTACTAGCTACAGAACCATTGACTATCCTGTACCCATGTTCTCTGCATTAACCTCAGATGCACACTGATAAAGTAGGGGAAAGGAGATCTTAATCTCAAAGGACTGTAATAAGTTGAGTGTGTTATTATATATGCAAAGGATGTAGAGCCATGCTTGCAACACAGTAAAAAGTACAGTCATCACTGCCATCATCACAGCCCTTCTGAAGCCAAACCATACATTTCCTTCCTGAAGACTGGGGAAGGGCCCATAAACTACATATTTAACTCATTTTGTTTTTCTTGGTCCTTAGCTTTATCACAGGCATTGGTCTTTTTTATCTCCTACTCAATAGTTCTTCTTTTTAAAGTCTTGTGTTTCTCAAAACTTTTTTTTTTTTTAAAATGTGGGTACAGATAATACAGCAAAACATTCCACTGACATGATAGAATCTTCAACTTTAGAATTCTGTGATTAAAAAACACAACCAGTTCCTTGTGGGACTGACACTGCTTTAGTCAATCATTTGTTCATAATTTGAAGTGTAATCAAAAACTGAACAGAACCACATAGTTCTTGAAGGCCCTCTTACCTCGCCCATCACTGCTATGGGTGTCTCTCCTGTTGCCTGAGCAACACGATGCTCTACCAAGTAGAACATGTACTCGTCATAGAGCAGCCGGATCAGGTGGAAGGAGCCGAAGCTAGCAGCACTGCGCAGGGTTAAGTCCCGGATGACCATGGAGCTGCTCAAGAGAAAGGGCAGAGATGAAGCCGGAATTAGTGACCAAAGTTATAATCAGTACTCTTAAAAGCAGTTAAGTCGGGAGACTACATGAAAACACGGTTATAGAGTATAAAACTTGCGATAGAACAATCCCATTGTTGAAAGCAGTTGGCCCAACTCATTTCAGTAGTGGGGAAGAGGTTGTTCTCACTATGGCTTGAGCCTGATCATCACCAGAGCCAGGCAGGTCTTCATGAGAAAAGACCCTGCACTATTATAGGTATGTCTGCCTTTCCCATTGTGCTCACAAGAGGATCGCAACTGAACAGAAACAGCTGTAGAAAGGCTGGAGACTCATCCCTGGTATAAGGAAAATCAATTCAAACTGAACATCTTGATGATGAGTGACAGTTTGTCATCTCTAAATGACAATGATCCTTAGAGTGTACTCTGTGCCCGATTTCACCCAAAAACATGAAGCAAAGTTCCCTGAATTGTCAGTCTAAATGGAGGCGAATATGTGGGATTCCAGGTCGTTTTGTTGAAAGGTAAATTTATTGATTCCAGTTTCTTGGTGACTTTCATTTCAATTAAGGTGATTTCCCCCCACTAGAGATGGGAATTATAGATGAGTTAAGAAATGATTACATTTAAAAACCACAAATATTTAATGTATATATTATACAAATATGAGCCATATTGACAGAATAGTAATAATAAACTTTTATATTAAAAATATAAATAAGTCCAAATAAAACTGTGGCTTTACCAAAGATGTATCAACTAATAAGCTTCTTTTATACTTCAAACATAGCTGTGAATCTGTGATTCACACTGAGAATAATGCATGTATTTATGCTTGCATGTTTTATACCAGTTTTTATTCACTTGCCTTTTTCTAAAGCTTTTTGGTCGATAAATACTAGAACTGTCACTATATTCCCAGGAGGAGGAGGCAAAATGTCACAAATGAGAGCTTTATTTTTGTAATGACCAATTATAAAATTCCAGGCAAATAAAAGGGTAGTAAGTGGGCTTTACTTTTGTTTTCCACTCATTTTCAACCTTGTAAAAACAGATTTAAATACATCAGGTTCTACACATTCACGTTGGCAAGTGACAGATCACGAGTGTGACAGCTGAAGACAGAAGCTCTGGGTTCTGATGCTGGCTGTCTGCTACTCGACTCTTAGCCACAAATAGGCAATTTCCCTGAGGTTGTTTTCTCTAGGGAAAATGAAAGCAGTGTTTTTAAGGGAAAACAGTTATTTGAATGGAAAAATGAATATAAATAAATAGAAAAGAATATAAAAACAACTTATAAATAAATAGAATGCAACAAATATAATTTATTATGTTTATTTATAACACAACAAACAATGCTATTTGTAATTTGTCTATAGAAGAATGAAGATCATTATATGGACAGCAGACTTCTCATTTACTTTTTTAAATCATTGTACAAACAGAAGAAAAAGTAAAGCGTGGATGTCTAACTAGACCCATTATCATATGCCTTAAAACAAATACAAAAAAAAACAAACCAGGGCCTCACTCTCTAGTCCAGGCTGGCCCACATCTCATTACGTAGCTTAGACTAAAATCTCTAGAAATCTTCCTGCCTCAGCTTCCTCTGTGTGTGGTTACAGGTGGCCTTTGTAATCTTGTCTACAACCACATAACCATTTTTAAGGCTTAAAAGTTAGTCTGAGAGTCAAATGAAACAACACATAGTAGTTCCCTGTATCTATGGTTTTGATTTTCTTGGTTTCAGGCACTGCAGTCTAATAGCATGAAATGAAAATTCCAGAAATAATCAACGTTTCAGACCACACGTCCTTCTGCAGAGTGATGAAGTTTGCTTTCTGGCTCCTGCCACCTGGGATGCAGCTCATCTTTTTGCCTAGCAAGTCCAAGCCGTATAAAGGTCCCAGAGTGCAAGAGCAGTGATGCTGGGGTGTGAGTATAGCAAATTACTAGAAAATGCCCCTAAGTAAGACGGTGAAGGCTGTTTCCTTTAGGGAAAAAGATTGTATTCTGAGATGCGACTGATAATAAGACTGCATCTTCTATCTGTGTAACTGAGACAAAGGGAAGTCAATCCATTCTAGGTTTGCTGTCATACTTCAATCTGCAAAAGGTACAGTCATCACCTGTGAAAAGTGCTGACATCAAGACGTCAAGGCGCTATACCTTAGGTTGAGTAATATTGGTGGTTCAGGCATCTACTGAGGTGCTGGAACATAGCCCTCATGGATAAGGTAGATAAGTGTACTCCAGTATGAATGAGCAGTCATGACATGAGAATGGCCACGTCAAGAATGCTACCTCAGGCTCAGGAGAATGGCAAGGCCTTCCTTGTCTCTGATTCAGGGGAAACAGCAAGACCTTCCTGGGTCAGGCTCAGGGAATGGCAAGGCTTTCCTGTAGTCTGAGTACAGATGTTAGCTAACTGTTGACCTATAGCTAAAAACAGTATGTGCAAAGAATACTAAGCACAGCTTTCTCATCCCAGATAACTTCATGTCCCCTGAGACTGTTCCCATACAGAGACCGCTTCCTCCTTCAAGATGTATATAAAGAATATGCTGAGTATCTGGGCTGCTGGTGTGTCTGCATCTGAGTGTACAGTCCACCCAATCACACCTTTCAGTTACTTGGGTCTGTCTTTCTTAAGTTCTCATCACTCCCAGTAAGGTTTCCAGGATCCAGCCATAAAGGTCAGGGTACCTAACATATGTGGGATCTTAACAAATTGGGTCATTACCACAGCACTGAATATACTACAGTTAAAAGTATATTCATTACAATAAACAGTTCCACATAATGGTTTCTTTGTGTCAATGAAATATCTTAAAACACTCCTCAAATGTTTATAACTCTAATGCATAAACGAATTATTAAAAATGGAAGAATAGCTTCACTTATGTGCCAAAACCCTAAAATTAAATGATACATCATCATCTACTTGTAAAATAATTTACAAGCATGTAAAATAGTAATTTTTTAAAAATAAACATTTCTTTTTCCATGGGAAAAATTTAAAGCGCGCGCGTGCGCGCACACACACACACACACACACACACACACACACACACACACACACCCAAAACCAATGTAGCATAATGACTGAATGTCTAATAACATTGAACTCAGAGTCAGTAATCTTTAAAAGTAATCCACGGGTAGAGTAGTCACTTATAACTCCATCCATCTTGCTGAACAAAGACGGTAGATATTTAAAATACATCCCAGGAATGACAGGTAGCTAACAAAGATACAAATATAAAATTAACCTTATTCAAAAGTAAACACATTCAAATTAAAGAGAACACCTGTTACCTATTGCATTATGAGACCGTATTATGGTCTGGAGAGGGGGTGAGAAACAACTTTACTGTTTCTACGAGTGTTCCTGAGGATTCTATAGAAGGAATGTGGCAGTATTTATCAAAATGTCAGCTCACTGAACAATATAGTTCTAATTCTAGAAATTTAGACAATGAGCAAAGTTAGTTTTAATTGCAGCAACTCCTTCCCCACCACATATATCAGGAATGATTGATGACCTTAACTGCAGTTACCAAGAATGTGGTCTTGTCTTATTCACACAGCACAGAGAAAAAGAAATAGTCCATGTAAAATGTTCACTTCTGGGTTTTCCAAAATCGACACCAGCCCTTGAAATCTAGTTTATGTAGACAGACCTAGATGGAGCTGAGTGTGTCTACAGCAATGCGTCAACTGCTGTGAGACTGCCAGTTTGTTTCTACGTGTCTGGGTAGGTAAATGCAAACACAAGTTTAGAAATTACTAGATTAAATATCTGGCTTTTAAACAAAAAGGAACTGTATATGTGGTTGTCGAATTTATGATATCCCTTGCAAATTTACAATTTACATTTACAATGCTAAAAACATAAGAATTCTTCTTCTGCTTCTCTGAGGATTTACGCATGAGTTTTCATTACTCATCATGTTCTCATGCCTCAGTAAAAAAACAGTTCAGATATTACTCTGCCTACCAGCAGGAAGTATGCATCTGCTTAAATGTCTCTTTCCTCTGTGGCCCTCAACTGTAAGCCTTCAAATCTTTTTGAAACGAAAATAGTAACCATAATAGTGTCTAATAATATCAAGCCAATTATCCCCAACTCAGGGAGGACAGAGGGCAGGCGAGTGATGATTTACTGGGCTTGTGTATCTGCAGAGAACACGAAATACAAGCAAGTAATTTTCTTTCTTTTCAGAATTCCTGCAATAGATCTCTGTGGTGACAAAGGCTCCAGGGGTGTATTTCTAAAATGATGTCAACTAAATGCGGGGGAAAACCCACAGAGAGAAGTAAGGGCAAGGCTGCCACTACTACAGAACACAATAGGAAGGGGTTGGGCATCTGTCTTTCGCTGCTGTGTGAGGTTGGGCACTGTGCCTTTGGTCATGTGAGATTTGGAAAGAGTCAGGCAATATAAGTGATGTTCCAGCCACTGGTCATGGGCACACATATCACTTATATTATTTTCTGTGAAAATTCAGATGAATGAAATATTGACTCTCAAGCAATCAAGAAACCATATTTCTGCCTTTAATCCCAGCACTCAGGAGGCAAAGCCAGGTTGATTTCTGTGAGCTCAAGCTCAAGGTCAACTTGGTCTACTCGAGAGTGAGTCCTAGGAAATTCAGGGCTATGTAGACAGAGTCTGTCTCAAAAAAGCCCCAAACCAAAAACAACAACAAAAAGAAGAACATATATTTCCAAATTAGAATTTTGAATTATATGACAGATGGACTCCTATTTCATAAGTTAGATAATTTAAATTTTTGACATTGACATTTGATCCTGTAGTAAAAATACAAGTGTTTGTTTCTTTATTCAGGGTGATCTCACTGACTTGGGCCTAAAACCTGTATCTCCTGAGAGGTATAATTTGTCCCTGACATAGATTCCATGCTAGAATCCACCTGACCATTCCATCCTATACAAATATGGCACAAGTCTTAATCAATACAGCTCATAAATGTGCTTTTCAAATCCTGTTGTAGATTTGGTGCCAACAACTCATTCCAAATTTGCCATTATGTATCATATAATTAGTAAGCCCTTTCCATTTAGGGGTGCTTCTATGTCTACAAAAATATGTATTTTTCCATATGAAGTATTTTAGTCTAAAAGATTCATTATCAATAACATATGTTATTACCTGTTGGATACTAACCATGCAATATAATCACCAGAAAGTGACTGACCCCTAACTACTACCTCCTAACCACCAAGAAAATAAGTCACTCACTGGGTCTTAGGAGTAATCAAAAGTTAAAAAGAACATATAAATTCTGCTCTCTGATAGCTCTCTGATATATTCTGCTCTCTGACAATTGACAGAATTAAGAAATTAACTAAGTAGTTCTGAGTGAACTGGAATTACCCAGGGGATTTCAAAGCTCAGATTGATAGGCCTTTCCTCTATGGATTCTGACTCAAGTAGACTTGGGAAGTAGCCTACTGATGCACATTTATAATGAGTCTAAGTGGATGTGAGGTCATGAGCTAGTGACTACAGTTTGAGGGCCACTGAAAAGGGAATAATAGTTATAACCCCACCAGAAGGTACTTCAATAAGGTAGGAGTAGAGGGAGGACCAGCCACGCTTTCTGACTGTTGCTGAAAACATCATCTAGAGCAGTGGTTCTCAACTCTCCTAATGTCACAACCCTTTAATACAGTTCTTCATGTTGTGGTGACCCCCAACCATAAAATTATTTGCGCTGCAACATCATAACTGTAATTTTGCTAAGTTATGAATCAGATGTAAATATCTGTGTTTTCTGATGTTATTAGGGGACCCCTGTGAAAGAGTCTTTAGACCCCAAAGGGGTGGTAACCCACAGGTTGAGAACTGCTATTCTAGATGGACTCTCAGAGATTACTATCTGAAAATTTCTTGGCTTTGAGCAAGAGGGGCTCCTTTCCCAGCAAAATAGTTCATTTTCATCAATTTCCTGCTTAGTCTCTATGCATCATAGTCATAGAGTTGGATATTCCACCAAATCTAAATTTCTTTTTTTTTATGTGAATAGCACACACACACACACACACACACACACACACACACACACACACACACACACACACACATTTGCAGGACATGAAGACAATTTAGCGAACTTGGGGTGCTACCTGTAAAAAGACCATTTGAGCAGAAACTGCCTGGCGGCTTTAGGGAAGCTGGGTCTTCCTTCATAGGGCTTCAGTGCCTGCATCATCACATTGTCCAGCCATGCTGCCCACTGCTCCAGTGTGCTCTGCTGCTGAAGTGTCATCTTGAAGTCTGTTTCTAGTCTCTGAACCATGTTGTCATCACACTGGCACACCCAGGAAGCCTGCTCCTGGGACGGGTCACAGATAGAAAGGAAAATTCAAGTCGGCAGCTTCTCACTGAGAATCAGCACAGAGCACATGCAGGGTGGTGTCGCACAGAAAGCTTCAGTGGGGGACATGAATGAATCATGGACATGAACAATAGGCACCCAATGCCTTTGTCATCTTTAGGGCTTAGCACTTCTCCTTGATCACTGCTGAAGCAGTATTTAACTGTGACTTGGTTTTCTACTGTGGCTAGGCCTTGTGAGATACCAGCATGGTAAGGAAGCCAGAGGTGTGAACCAGTAGCATGCTCTGTCCGGTTTCCACACTGCTTCTAAGTTTCCCCACCCACCACAGAAAACTGTAAAACCATTTTACAAGACTTAGAGTAAGTCAGAGGAATAAATGGATTCAATTGGCCAAAAGCGGTCCCTAAAGATTAAAACAAAAACAAACGCTGAATGGTACTAGTTAGAAGCATATGCTGTGTGAGTTCATAGATTGGGAACAGAAATCTCAAGGGCTATCAAGGCAAACCAACAAATGCAAATTAATTCACAGAACTGAAAACAACAACAACAACAAAACCTCTTTTGAGAAAATGTAGATGTGCTACCTGCCAAGAAACCTGATTACTGTATTTTCCCTTCTGCTTCTGGTTGGGAAGTTTCAAGTTTTGTAACAACAATGAAAATAGGAACTTTGAAAGTTACTTTTCAGTGATTGTGTAACTTCTATGATATTCTAGTGATGCGCCGCATTTTAAGGTTAAAAGAATAAATATCTCTTCTCTCATTATCAAAATTTAATTATTTGGCAACATATTATGACAGACAATTAAAAGGCATGCTCAGGTCCTAATTTGCCCAACTAAGTTAAAACAATTAATTAGATTAGTGTGGGCTTTAGTTTCCAATGCACAAAATCCAACAAATGAGAATTGAGAGTTTTTAAGTGGGATCCATTATGATAATTTTTAAGAGAACTTTCTTTGAAATCTGTAAAGTTCCAATACAAAAACAGAGAATATGTTGATATTGTCATGAACACTGTCTGCAGCCTTAATTCTATGTTATCTTAGACGTCTAGTTGATTCAAATTGACAATTTCAAATCAATATATCTCTAATCCCATCCTTCCAGTTCTAGGATCTCTGCTGACCCTACACACTTGACATATTCAGGGTCATTTATGCTTAGAGACATTTCAAAGGCAAACTGCATCCACATCAATCACTCTATTTTTCTAGGGAAACCTACTTTCTTCCACATCTCAGCTGATGATAGCATCTTCTCTCTTTGTTTTTAGATGCTACCTCTTAAACACAACTTGTAAATAGTTTAAATAGACTAAATACAATTATAGAAAAAAATTAATAAAAAAGACAATAAAAGAATATGAGGGCAGAAGTCCAAGATAGCTACAATACATGGATATGCATGTATACATTGAAGATACTTTAAGTTTTTTAAACACATATAACATAGTATATGTGCTATATTATTTGAATTCTATTTATATTTACATTACTCCTTTATTCATGCTAATTTACATTTTGTCATTTATGCTTACACATATATAGTTTTAATATAAATATAATATATATCATGTATTCTACTCAATATTCTGCTTAACAATGATAATTTGTCCACTTTTTCAGATACATAAATATGGAGCTATATTTACTGCTCACTAATAAACTTGTTTCATTGCATGAATATGATATTATTTGTATAACCAATTTCATACAGCTAGACATTTGTTCTAAATTCTTACTAGTATAAAGTTTGAATTAGCTATGTTGTTAACTACATTTTGCTCATATTTTTACTTATTTCTGTATAATAGATTTATATAAGAACAGTTAAAATCTTTTAATAGTAGCAAATGGTTCCCAGAAATTTTGTATCAACTTCAAGAGTCCCTGAGTACCCAGGTACGTTAAGTATTACAATAGTAACCAAGAGAGGGTTTTGGTCCACCCCACTGCCCCAACATCTAAGCTTTTTTTTGTTTTAATTTTCTTCTGACCCTTCCTCTGTATATGGTAGAGCAATGTTAAATAGATGGACTATACGGGGCATTAGAGCTCTAGAATCTTGGGCAAATGAAAGATTCTGTGCTTCATGTGAAGAAGCTTGTTCTTGTTTATGCTGGCTCTAGAAAAAGGACTGTACTGATACACACAGAGGAATTTCACCTTTTTGTTTGTTTGTTTTTTGAGACAGGGTTTCTCTGTGTAGCTTTGCGCCTTTCCTGGAACTCACTCTGTAGCCCAGTCTGGCCTTGAACTTACAGATATCCGCCTGCCTCTGCCTCCTGAGTGCTGGGATTAAAGGCGTGCACCAGCCACCACTGCCCAGCTGAATTTCACTTTTTACCAACAAATTCGAACTTACTATTTACATGAAAATGACTTTTGGCAAGATGAGATGATAATCTAAAACCTAATTTGAGAAATAAGAGCACAGCTTCATAAACCACTCTTCACACCCTACAGCTTACAGAGTTCACATTAACGATGGCTTACTTCATAAAGCAAACATCTGAAGGTGTTCTTAACTTATAAAAAATAATATCCAACATGGTACATAGTAAGGAAGTTCAAAATCAGACTGTATCTTCAATAAAGAAACCCATGTAGCTGGGTGTGGTGGTATACACCTTTAATCCCAGTACTTGGGAGGCAGAGACAGGTGGATCTCTGAGTACAAGGCCAGCCTGATTTTAGAACAGCCAGGGCTACACAGAGAAACCCTGTCTCAAAAAACAAACAAAAAAGGAAGGAAAGGAAAGAAGGCAGGAAAGCAGGCAGGCAGGCAGGAAGGAAAGAACTCAAGTAGTCAATGATCAGGTTAACAGGTAAGACCATCCAAACCTACTTAATTCATAATGGAGATGAAAACTCATCCATTTACACAGAACATTTAGAAATAATACCATCCTAAGACTATCAGTTAAATGAGAAAGAAAGCCAACCAAACTGCAATAGAAAAAAGTCTTGAAATGCAAAATCATTTGTTGAGAAGAGGATGAAACAGTGCAGAGATTTATGGAGGGAAGTCTTAGGTTTATAAAATGGTCTGAGTATGTCAATACAAAGGAAGACAAAGAGTAGCTCAAGTTGCTGTGTAAGATGAGTAGTAGATGTGTAGTTGACTATTTATATACAAAGATGTCCTCAAGAGAGATGTTACTAAGCAGCAAGTAGGTTCATTTGTACACATATTCAATTCAATACAAAAACAGGAACATCCAAGGTCTTGGCATGCTCTAATAATAACACTTGGAAGTTGTTTCAAACCAAAGTTTCTTTATTGCAAGAGTTTTATCCTTTTATTTGTCAGTCTTACTGAGATTCATCTTAGAAGAGGCAGGGACAAGTTCCAAATGACAGGAAAAGGTCATGAAGAAGGAATGGGAAGCAGGGCACACTAGAGAAGCCTGTCAAAGCTTGGAAGAGATAAAGATGTAAGTAAGGTAAAAAGGAACTGTGCCATTTGGGTAGGCATCAGAACGTACAGAAGGAAAGTATAGGCTGAACTGAATGGCTCACCATTATATTTGTGATCCTCTGAGGAAAGGAAAGACGATTTGGAGGACAGATCCTGAATTATACAAGTTCCAGTACTAATGACTGTCACGATGGACACAGAAAAACTTGACAGTTGACAACAAAGGAAGACAAAGAGTAGTCCAAGTTGCTGTGCAAGTGGATGTGTAGTTGACTATTTACATACAATGATGTCCTTAAGAGAGATGGTTCTAACTAGTGAGTGGGCTCGTTTGTATACATATTCAATTCAGTACAAAAATCATGAATCCAGGGTTGAGGACAGGTAAATAAATGTTAAAACAAGAACAATTTACATTTTCTCAGATACTAATTGAAATAAATCATTCTTTACAAAAATTTCTGTTACCAAGTTGGAATTAACAACTGGAAACTGAAGTTGTCTTACTATTCTGACTTCAAGATAGTTTTACATCAACTTTCCTTAAGGTTCCTTTAAACATCTTTTCAAAATGAAGATCTGAAGTAAATATTAGAGTACAGATTTTAAGTTGATATAATTGCTTAATAATTTTGGTAAATGAGTTATTGTAACCTTGTAACCCTATGGACATACTCAGACCATTTTATAAATCCAAGACTGTTTGTTCTTGCAAAGGTTATATGATTGCACACAAATATGTCTATTTGTATACACACCATTGGTAGGTAGATGGTTGTATATATGAAAAAGAGATTGAAAAATTAAGAATCAGAAACATGAGCTTATTTCATGAAAACCACAATGAAAACAGCTGATTTATTCTACTATAAATGAGTGAAGCTCAAATATTATTACATAATATATTTTATTTTATTTTTTTTTAGAGTTGATTGTTTTTCATTTATTTATTTTTTTTTCTTTTATTTTATTTTACAATACCATTCAGTTCTACATATCAGCCACGGATTCCCTTGTTCTCCCCCCTCCTGCTCCCCTCCCCTTCTCCCCAGCCCACCCCCCATTCTCACCTCCTCCAGGGCAAAGCCTCCGCCAAGGACTGAGATCGACCTGGTAGACTCAGTCCTGGCAGGTCCAGTCCTCTCCCCCAGACTGAGCCAAGCGTCCCTGCATAAGCCCCAGGTTTCAAACAGCCGACTCATGCAATGAGCACAGGACCTGGTACCACTGCCTAGATGCCTCCCAAACAGATCAAGCCAATCAACTGTCTCACCTGGAGGCATCACGATCCCTGACTTCAAGCTCGACTATAGAGCTACAGTAATAAAAACAGCTTGGCATTGGCATAAAAACCGACATGTGGACCAATGGAATCGAATTGAAGACCCTGACATTAACCCGCACACCTATGAATATATAATTTTTGACAAAGAAGCCAAAAGTGTACAATGGAAAAAAGAAAGCATCTTCAACAATTGGTGCTGGCATTACTGGATATCAACGTGTAGAAGGCTGCAAAGAGATCCCTATCTGTCACCGTGCACAAAACTTAAGTCCAAGTGGATCAAGGACCTCAATATAAATCCAGCTACTCTGAACCTGCTAGAAGAGAAAGTAGGAAGTAGTCTTGAACGCATTGGCATAGGAGATCACTTTCTAAATATAACAACAGTAGCACAGACAATGAGAGAAACAATCAATCAATGGGACCTCTTGAAACTGAGAAGCTTTTGTAGAGCAAAGGATACGGTCAACAAGGCAAAGCAACAGCCTACAGAATGGGAAAAGATCTTTACCAACCCCACATCTGACAGAGGACTGATATCCAGAATATATAAGGAACTCAAGAAAATAGACATCAAAACGACCAACAGTCCAATTGAGAAATGGGCTTTAGAACTAAACAGAGAATTCTCAACAGAGGAAACTCAAATGGCTGAAAGACATTTAAGGAATTGCTCAACATCCCTAATCATCAGGGAAATGCAAATCAAAACAACTCTGAGATACCACCTTATGCCTGTCAGAAGGGCTAAGATCAAAAACACTGAAGACACTTTATGCTGGAGAGGATGTGGAACTAGGGGAACTCTCCTCCACTGCTGGTGGGAATGCAAGCTTGTACAACCACTTTGGAACTCAATATGGCGCTTTCTTAGAAAACTGGGAATCAATCTCCCCCAAGATCCAGCTATACCACTCTTGGGCATATACCCAAAAAATGCTCAATCATACCACAAGAGCACTTGCTCAGCTATGTTCATATGTAATATATTTTAAATAATAAAGCATGTTGTGGAGAATAAATTTCTTATAAATAGAGTAATGATTTTAAAAGACACACTGTACAATTTACCTACTTAAAGTATAATTCTTCTCGAAAGGAAGTCCTGTACCCATTGTATTTGTTATCTCTCATTCTCTGCAATATCCTAGTCCTACCCAGTCAGAAATCTATCCTGCCTCTAGCGTCTAGCTAGGCATCTCCTATAAATGGAAGCATGTAACAACTCCCCTTCATTAACATGTTTCCGAGGCTCAATCAAGGCTTCAGAAGTTCCTTCCACTGCCCAGCAACGGTCCACTGTATAGATAATGCACATGTTCGGTTATCAGGTAAGGACCCCTGGGTTGTCTAATTTGAACAATAATGCTATGAACATTGAAGTACAGATTGAGGATCTCTACTCTGAAAATCCAAAATCTGAAATATACACAGAGTGTTGTATGCTCAAAACTTTTGTGTTTTGAAGCATTTTAGAGTACAGACTTTAAGGATAAGCATGTGGTAAAGTCTAGTAAATATTAAAAAAATCTCAAGAACACCCAAACATTCGAGTCCAAGCACTTTAGACAATTGGTCAACTTGCGTGGCCATGTTTCCCTTTCTCCTGGCTATCTGCCAAGCAGTGGGCTGCTCAGTCACATGATGAGTCTATATTTATCTTTTTGAGGAGATGCCAGACTGCCTTAGTGGTTGTGGCAGTTTGCATTCCCATCAACAGCTCATGAAGTGCTAATTTCTCCAGTTCTCCAGGGACCAAATCTGATATTTTCTGTCTTCAATCACATCCATTTAGTGTGCATCTAATGCTATTTCCTTGTGGTTTTAACTCCTGTTAAACCCTGGTGGCCAATGCTAAGAATCCTTTCATGTGTTTATTGGGCACTTGTCTATTTGCCATTTTAAAATCAGGTGGCTTTTTATTAATGGGTCCCAGGGTAGTTGTTTATATATTTTATGTATGGAGTATTTACAAGATGAGCTTCTGACAGGCTTTGCATTGCCTTTTTACTTTTTGTCATGTAGTCTCTTGTTAACTCCAAAAGTTTTAAATTTGGATTGTGTTGAATTATGCATTTTTTACTTTGTAGCTTATATTTTATGTCAGGGGTGTTATAATTTTTATATAGTAACAACTAACTTTGTTACTTTAGTATCATAAATAAAATATTTGTTAGACTTCCATAAGGAACCTACATTAGTCATTTCCAAGTGTAAAGTACAGAACAACTAGAGTTAGAAAAAAAATATTTTTTTTTTATTTGAACCAAGCTGTCCAGACTTACTTCAAATTAATTCTTTAAGTGAAAGAATTTTCTCAGGTATCTGCAATGTACTTTGCAATAGAGGTGCTTAGCTCTTCAAGGTGGGTTACTGTAATAAAAGAAGTACCTGCTTGAAAGGGTACAGACCACTATTTAAACACCCTACGGTAGTAGTTATAGCTGGGAAAATGAAATAGAGAGCACGTAAGTAGTTATTCAAATTCTCACAGATATAGAATAGTCTAATTTTTTGCTTAACTTCAGTGACTCTGATATTTGTTATCTTTTTAACTTCTCAGCAAACATGGGTATATTCTGTTGCCTACTAGTTCATAAACCTTAGCTGACTTTATCCCTAAAACAAAGGGGTTCAGTTTAGTCTGATCAGGGTAAAACCCCATCTTTGAGGAGACTATGAACATAGATTTTGCCATTACATGCATCAGGTCCTAGTTTAGAATAACTGACACCATTCTTTAAAAGACAGGATTTGCAAGGAGGCAAAGTACCTGGACATTGGCAAAGTCAACGCGGTTGAGGTCGCTGAGCATCTGGTTAATCTGGGAAGTGTTCTGAAGTACGGCGCGGGCTGCCTGGGCCAGGTGATTGAGCGATGTGTATCTTCGCAGAGTCTGGGCAAAGGCACTTACAGCGGCAACCTACAGAAACCCAAGCAGGCTGGAGTGGGGTGTCTTTTCATTTTTCTCCCCCCCCCCATTGCTTTCTCATAGAAGAAACTATTGCAACCTTCAAATACTTCAAAGTTAACAGCTTTCCTTAGATACATGCAAATTCATTTGGTAATAGTTTACTTATAAATTATATAGAATTTAAAATTCTTAAAGAATTATTTGGTTTTGAGGGCAAGCAACACGAAAACAAGCTCCCACACCTGTCAACATCTGAGTGCAGCAATCATGAAGGCAGTATTGGAAGTGAATTACTCAACCACAACAAGAAATTACACTGTCTAAAAAAGTAGGGAAATGTTTGCTTTCATGACCCCCAACTCTTTTTAGGACAACTAGAAACTAGGCAAGTAAGAACATTCCTTTTTATCTGGAAAAGCAAACTGTACAGATCTATTGTTAAGTGAACAAAAAAATACTTTCAGAGCCATGCTGCTCAGACTCACCATTACGACTTTAAGTTTACAAGTGGGCAGACGTGATGGTGAAACGTGGGACTTCAAAGTTTGTCTGCCCAAGTACATTTATCAGAGCGCAAGCAGCGTAACTCTTTGTTTAGGGTTTACATTTGTTTAAGTGGGCTATGTGGGAGATTTCCATTTATTCTTGGAAAATCCCCTGTCCACGTATCTCCATCATCCACAGTGGCCAGAAAGGCTGCAGGGGTGACATGAGTGCCCCCTTTGCCCTCAAGCTTCCAGCTGGATTAACCAATCAGGGACAGGCATTGTTAGGAGAGTGAAGCACTGGACAGCCTCGGTCAGAGTGTGCATTCCTCACAAGCTATGCTCTTCCCTTTTCTAAGGCTACCATTGGGAAATTCAGCAGGAGGTTCAGGAAAGCGACGACACTCATCCCTTACCTATTTCAGACCTAGATTTGCTGAGAAGTTCTCATTGCTACCTGCAGGATGCTTAAGCATTGGTTTTTCTCAACTCTGTTTGCATGTTTAGAAATAAATTGTTATTCCACGTACCCTTCACTTAAACCTTTTGTTTCTTTTCTTTCTTCTCCTCCACTACTCTAATGGATTGAACCTAGGACTTCAGGCATGCTAGTCAAGTGCTCTACCACTGAGCTCTATCACCCTAGCAGGTGAACACTTTTTTAAATGAGATACTGAATGAGTTAGCCTATGTCGGAAGATATCATAGATAATGAAAAAAAAACCCTCTAAATAAATATCTAATTTTCATAGAAATGTTAGATACACAGTGGACATGACCCCAGTCTTTAAAAATATGCCAAAAGCCTTAGCATATTTATAGGAATACACCATATTTATATTGAGTTTTTATGGGTACATAGGAAGCATATATTTGAAGAATCAGTTGGTTGTGTAGAATAATGTGTTGACTCATTTAAAAGTGAGATGTATTAGGACTGTATGAAATATTTGAGCAAGCTCACATACCCTAGAAGAGAAAATGTTTTTCCATTTTTGTGGTTTATATACATTGAGTACATATTATATACCAGGCACTAGGTTAAGTGTCTCATATATTTCACATTGTTCAACTGTCAACATGTTATGAATCAGAAAGGTTAAATACCTTAAGCAAGGTTGCACAGAAACTCATTTAAGTGGTAAGATTTGAACACATCCATTTTAGTACTATTACCACTGACTAGGAAGCTCTTCCCTAAGTTGGGTAAATGGTCTCAATGATTGGGAGCTCAGCAGAAATACAACTACATATCAGCAACAGCAGAAGAGCAGAAGTTATATTCTGCAATGGTAAATATGGAGACTATTTTTGAAAATCAGCAAAATGGCCAATGTTGCAGGCAATCTGCTATGGCATTCACTTTGATGACACCGAGAAGAGAAGTGATTTCAGCTATTTGAGGTATTATTAGGAATACAACTGATTTTATAAATTAGAAAGGTTCTTCAGTCACAATCAAATAACATCTTTTATTTTTGTGATTTTCAGACTACAACCCAGGGCTTTATTCATGTTACCACTGTGCTACTTTCCTAGCCTCTGGGTCTTACTAAGTAACTTGGGCTTTCCTTGAGCTCCTTACATAGTCCAGGCTTGGGTGAATTCATGGTCCTCCTGTCTCAGCCTCCAGTGTGCAAAGCTTAAACCAAGGTAGAAAGAACTGGAGCTCCTTGTGGCTCCAAAGAGACTTTCTGGCTACAGGAACCTCAACAGAGTAACATTGCACCCCAAACAAAGGAAAAGATATACTGTTGGAGTCTAATGGTGGATATATTCAAAAGCCACAAGTATGAATTTAAGCAACAAAATGAAAGTAAAGTCTCTATCCAATCTTGCCATGGGCATATTCTCACAGATTAACCTAAAGTATCATGCTAGAAAGGGGTAATGTGTAATCTAGGATCCGCTAGGATGAAGAACAATGGAACTACAACATCCATATGCTAGCTCTGAACAATATTGGTTTACTTATATATGAAGATCTGTTATGAGAAAAAAAATTACTTGAAGAGAGAGTTTCTTAAGCAAGCACACGTGTGCCCCACCACCAAAAGACATAATCATACCTTGGTTTGTATCATTCTCTGTGGAATATTGTTCATGGCATTTGAAAGCCAACCTTCAAGGCTTTTTGCAAAATTTCGAATGGCTTGGGTCAAGGCACCTAAATAATAAAAAAAATAAAGGCAGAACAATAAAGATACCCAAGATCATTAATTTTTATGCTAGAATAAGGGAAATGTATGTTTATACTACTTTTATATCACAGAGCAGAATTTATATTATCTTCATTGATTAAAAAGTAACATTATTTCTAATTTCTTAGAGCAACTAAAAGTAATCTTTTTGGCTTTTTAAACTATTTGGTTCTCAGACACTGATGACACCTGTTGGAAAATGCAAACATTCAAATCTTTCTGTTCATGGCAACATATACCAGTTGTGAATATACGTTATGGGGCTTTGTACCTTGGACAAAACATCATGAAGAGTTTTGTGATCAAGGGCTAGGAATTTCCATTTTGGTTTCAAACTTAATCTCATTTTACATTGTTAGTTAAAATGAAACACAGTGCAAAGCTTTGTTTTTCTCTATTCAATGTTTTACCATAGAACCTATGAACTGGAGTATTTGTCTTTGCTGAAAATAGAGGAAAAATAATTGTTGGAGTAAACATTTCAGATGCCTATTCCAATTTCACATGTAGGAGCTAAAAGATCAGTGTGGTAAAATTGCTGTCACAGAGAGCAATGTTACTAAGACATTTTCAAAAGAGCCAATCCAATCTTAATTTGTTAAAGCCTGAAATGGGGACAGGTCTCATAACAGAACTTTACAGTGGTCACGAAATGACCAGAAACATCTTCAGTCATCAGTTAGCTTTGTTAAAAGGGAGCTGCTCACTGAGTCGGCTCCTGTGTCCTCCAGTCAGTGGTCTTTCAATTCCTTTGTGCCCAGGACTACACACTGTGGGGAGTAGATTTAGGTGTGTAATGAATATTTAAAGCACCCATAACATAAAACTATTCTCTACAGGTTCCATACGTCTGGTAGATACCCAAATCTGTGATATACTATGAGAAAGAAGTTCTATTTTGGCCAGCTGTCACCAAGAACATAGAGCAGGACCAAAGGCTATCCTTTCTATGCTCAAGTGGGTCTGGCCATCTTTTCTTGCTACTTTTGCCAAAACAGGTTTTAGAGGGAAATTTAGTGTAGTCAAGTTACTTACAAAAAGATACAAAATTTAACACCCCAATAATAAAACAACTGAGTTTTTTTTAAACTTATTTAACTGGATAGTAGAGGCTAAAATTGCCTAAATATTGATTGGGAAAGAATGCAGACTCTTAATGAGGCTTAACTGGAAATTTCTTGAGAGGAAATCTTTCAAAATCTCCAAAGCAGCCCACCTTAGTCAAAAGAGAAAAAAAGAAAGAAACACATCTTTCTGCTGTGTTATGTACTAGAATCATGGAGTACAGGCATGAATGGAAATGAAAGGAGTGAAAAAAATTAACAGCCTTTTTTGAAACTCAGTAAAATTTTGTTCAAGGTTCAAGTTAGCAATCTATATTTCTCATTTTGTTCTATCATTAGTATAATAATGATTGAATTTGAAAAGACCCCAATAACTTCTTACATTATTTTTAAAGCATTTCATATATGCCCTATTTTATCTGGACAAACTTGATGGAAAGAAAATTATAATATAAAAAGATACACTGTGTATATTAAAAAGTTTAGGTATTTACTTTTTTTATACTAAATAATATTCTGGACCACCTTTTATTATATTCCCAGTTGCCCCTTTAAAGTTCTACCAGTTGAAATCTTATTCAATAATTCACACTTAATTTCCTTTTTCCATGTTTCGGGGGAATGTATTTTAGAATATAGGCGTTTCAGGCTGACTTTAAATTAGTACGATGTGCAGACTTTTTAGCTAAAAAAAGAAATCCCATCTGGACAGAAAATGGTAGAGTGAAGTACTAGTAGCCAAGAAATACAATTTTTAAAAATAAAATTAAGTTTGTTCTCTCTGTAGGGATTCATATAAAATCGAAATTGTGCAGACTGACTCTGACAGCTTCTAAAGACTCATAAATGGATGGTTTGATATTTAAAAATCTATTCTAAAGCTGAGCTCCCTCAGCCTGCTCCAGATCAGTATTAAAAAGCACATAACCCAGCAATAGCTATCTACACCATATTTTAAGCATTACATTGTTGAGCTTCATTGTAAAATAGAAATTGAATTCCCCAAATTTCTTTTGTAGAGTAGTACATTAGTGTATCTTGTAATTTCAGAGAAATAAAATGATTCCATTTTCTGGTGAATGTAGTGACAAACTACTTGACAGAATTAACTGTTTTTCTAATCAAGACAAACGGCAAGTGTATTGTATACTTAAAATTCTAAGGCTTAAAGTAAACCAAAACTGACACATGATTTAAATTAGGGAACTGCTAAATTCATATGATGCTAAGACAAAAGCACATGGTTTCTGAATTGTTTAATGAATATTGATGCTGTTGACTTGCCTCGAAAAAACGAGCACTCCCTGACACCCTCTCCTTGTATCTCATGAGAAAAACTGAATGTTGGTAGCCAGATGTCATAGGCTAATGAGTTAGCCCATGCAACTTCTTTTTAAATATCTCTAGAGATTAACACTCGGAGCACAAGGAGCAGGAGAGTAGGAAAAAAAAACAACAAATTCTGGAACAAATACCAGTGGAAATTAACATGGTGAAATTTTCTGTGACAATATCAATTTTTATCAGTCTTTTTAGTCAGGTAACCTGGTGTAGATAGAGTGGAACACATTAGCAATTTATCAAGTGTTAAGACAATGCCAGTGGGATTTCTTTTGTTTTTACTTTCTCCTCTATATATTAATGTACACTGATTGGCATAATATGTAAATGTGCATAAGCATCTATTTTAGGGTAATGAATACATAAAAGAATTTATATCTTCCCTTGTGTTTTTGTATTTACAAGTATAAACATACAAATGTTAATATCTTTATTTTTCCTTCTACTAAACTCTATGTTTTCCACAATAACGTAACAAATAATTGTGAATAGTATATTTAAAGTACATACTGCCAATGTCACTAGCTAAAAGATTGCTTTAAATGTCAGATGGAAACAGTCCCATTTCTTTAAAAGTTAAGGTCACTAGTATGGTTCATCCAGGTATAGGTACAAAGTAGTTCCAACAGCTTCTAACAGTATGTGTAGTGGCATTTACACCACCAACTACAGAAAAAGCTTTGTTTGCTACATGGTTACTGAAAAAAGTAAACAGTGATTTGCACAGTTCCCATTCACTTCACAGTGGGGCACAATGCTTGTGCAGTTATTAGAGTCTTCTCTCAAAACACTAGTTAACCATCAGTGTTAATGGCAACTGAATTAGGAGTTCTGAAGACAAATACTAGTTAACCATCAGTGTTAATGGCAACTGAATTAGGAGCTCTGAAGATAGTACAGGTGACAGAGTAAATGCTTTTAAAGGAATTCAAATCTACTGGAAACCACAATCAATCCATTTCAAATCCTAAGCAACCATGAAAGAGAATGGGCGGCAATTAGAGATTGTGATATTTTTTGGCTATATGTAGAGGGCTTTGACTTTGAGTAGAATAATTTTGCATGGTTGACTGAACTAATAATGTTCTTGCAATTAGTTTATTGAGGGTATCATAGCTGTAGGTTGACTTTTAAAAATAATAATAATGAAAAGACTAGAAAACAGTTCATTTCCCCTTCATATAGTGTCACTCAGGCTCTTTTCATGCAAGATTCTATATGCTGCATGTTTTTTATTTGACAAATTTAACTGAAACTAGGATCATTGCTGATTGTAACATCAATCCCCAGAATTTCTTGGGTGGTATGTATGAGAACAAAAGCATCCGTAGTTGTCTCCATTTAACTTACTAGGAATGGGTCTAAGGACGTCGGGGATGAGAATCTCCACCAAAGCCTGGTACATCCCATGGTCACAGTTACACATCCATTTCAGGATAGACTCATGTTTGCACAGAGTTATCAGCTTTGCTTTCGGAAGTCGACTTTCTATTTCACTCAGATTGCTGGTGTGAATAAATGTCGCAAATGAATAGATGGCAAATGAGGATAAAACAGAAAATGGACTTTAAAAATAGTTTATCAAATATCACTGAGGTTAGAACTATACCATAATTGCACTGGTGTCATATGGCTGGATATATATGTATGTATATATACAAACACACCCCCAGAGCTACTACCTATATACATTAATATTTTCTTATGGTCTGAAAGACAGATAGGATTGTAATCCACTAGCATGGCATAGATCTACCCTAGTCCCCCAAATCAATAAAATGGGAGCTACACACACTAAAATCTCAGAAGAGCAGTCTGTGGTTTATTCCTAGAATGGTCAATCTACTCAATGTTATCAGGTAAGGTTCACAACTGGTATACATATCTCTAATTTATTATCTGTGACATCTACTTAGTCATGAAAATAAATCAGAAAAGTATATTGAATCTGACCTTGATTCAGTAATGGTAGTGCCGTCGGTTGGAGTAGAGGGAGAATAGCGCCAGAATGTTTGCCATAATTTTTCTATCAGGCTAAACTGAAGATTCACAACAACGTCCAATATCGCCTAAAAACAAAATGACCAAACCATAATACTTCCTTTACTTTCCCTTGTTCTTTTACTTTCCCACCAACTAGATGTCTCTGCTAAGGCAGCTATCATTCCTGCAAGGTCTAAACCATCCCATATGTAGTTGACCCTTTGCCCAAATGCTGTCTTGTTTGCAGTGATTCACACCAGCCACATGTGTCTACCCAGCCTTGGAAATCTGGTGACTCCAAAACGGCATCTAAAGCTTATAAGCACTAAAGGTACACTGCATATTCAAGACATGTTAAAACACAAAGGAAGACAATAATTAAATAGCTAGCTATTATATTAATTACATATTAAAGTGATAATATTGCCTTTCAAAGATACAGTAAAACAATGTAAAATCAAATAATAATTTCTTTAATCATTTACATTCTGAAATACTAACACCACTATATTTCAGTGGCTCAGTAACAAAAGAAATGAAAATAAGTAGTAACGATTTGTCTATGTAGTGTGTTCTTGTTGAAATGGAAACAGATGGAATTTGAACAACTCCAAAAGAAAAGTGCAAATATTAGCCACTAATGTTTATAATGTTTCCATGTTGAAATAACATACTGTTGAAATATCAGACTTCTTGGTGGTTTATACTGTGTTCCCCATAGTCTTGGGCATTTGGATACTTGGTCCTCAATTGATGGCACTGCTTGGGGATGTTTAGGAGATGTAGCCTTTTTGGAGGATATATGTCACTGGAGGTGGGCTTTGAGACTTTAAAGACGTGTGCTGTTTCAAGTTCTTTGTCTGTGTTCTGTGCTTATGATTCAAGATCTGAGTCCTCAGCTTCTTGTTTCTGCTGCCCTGCCTCCTGCTTGCTGAATTGTTTCCCTTCCATGACAAACTCTTAGCCCTTGGGGACCATGAGCCCAAATAAACTCTTTCTTCTCTAAGTGTTCCTGGTCATGGTGTTTTATCACAGCAATAGAAAAGAAACTAATATAGACAAATTAGGTAACCAACTGAATTTTATTTTTATGTTTTTTGCTTACATAATATGTCTACTATACTTTGAGCTTAGAAAATAGAAAAAATAATTAGTAAAAGTTAATATTTTCTCCTTATTCTTTCCAGTTTTGGTAATACAAACTCATTTCAAACTTAGAAGAGATGATATAATAACTGGTACAGTTAATGTATTATATTTCCTTTATTGACATGTAACATTTCAAAGATGGGAAAATAAATGGAAGTTAATAATCTGCTTATATTCTAGTTTTTAAATGACAAGACATGACATGCACAATTTATTTATTTATTTGTTTGTTTATATTGCTTCCATGTTAGGTTATGCTTTTTTACATTCTGTGTTTAAATAAGATGCTACTAAAATCTAATTAATCAGGTCATTCCCACACAGACACTCCCATAGGCCAATGTGATCTAAACAATCCCTCATTGAGACTCTCTTCCTGGGTAAATCTAGACAACTTGACAAGTTGACAATTCAAATCAACCATTACAGCACTCTACCTACTCCTGACCAGGAAGGACAAAGCATTCCAACATCTGTGTTCTTGGATGAATTACCACTGGTCATCCAAGAAGGCAGAGGTTAAGAATGGTAAGTTGCTCAAGTGTGGCAGATGGGGTTAAGGTTGATCTAATCTTCCAAGAGTACTCAGTCAGGCAGAGTTAACATATGAACTGGAGTCAAGAGGCCTCCAGACACTGATACGTTTCTGGGAAGAAAAGAAATACACATACAGCCATGTTTGGCTATATAATAATTTACATTCCCCACTACAGCATACAATCTTACTTTTGTATATTCCTTTTATAGATTAGTTTAAGATTACTGTTTTCTAACTGTGGGGTCTGCCTTGCCTTGCCTTTTAGTTTAAATTTAGTTTCTAGAACCATTTTCCAGGTGTAACAAGTTTCCTTTTTCTTTTGTGATGATGTCAGTAACTGTTACTTCTATATCTAACTTTTGATGACCATATTTAATTTCAGTCTGCCACTTCAATCACTTTATAATAGAGCCTTCTGATAACAGCAAACATGGAGCCAAAGAAAATGTAATTCTGTGATTGTGCTGAATGCCAAAAGGCTGATGTGTAGGTAACATAAGTCAGTATAATGGGTTTGATTCCATCAATAACTGAGAACTAAGACAGAAGATTCCCATATGGATCTATAAAAGAAGGCAAGAAAATGGAGACAACCTAGAGTCCATCTGAGTATTTTAGAAAAAGTAAACTGTAACTTTGTAATTCTAGCGTATGTGCCACGTGTATAGACAAGGCCTGAAGCGTGAGACAGAGATGGCTAATTCAGACATTAAGCATGTGCATGGAGGATGTGTTCTGAGAACTAGCAGGGAATGCTGTAAGTTGGCAGCTAGTGAAAATGAACTAATTTAATATAAAACTTTTCAGTAAGATTAAAAAATACTGAAGGCAAGCTCTGAAAATAAAGTAAATATAGTTGTCCCTCATCTCATATAAAATCAAAACCCTCTCCAGAAGTTCTGATACCTGCTTCTTTAACTGCAGCTTAGGCATATTCTAAGCGATGTCTCTACAGTGTGAGGCATTAATACATAACAGACCTCTGAGACTAAAACTAGTGATACTTAAAAATATCTCAACAAATACATGAAAAGAATTCCAAATAGGAGAATAATCCTACCTTAAAAGTATAAACTATAGAAAATATGAAGTAAAACATGGCAAGAGTTTCAGCACATCATAAATCCAGTATCTTCAAATTAATCTCAAATAATTCTTTGAAAATGACACCCACACCAGCCTAATTTAAGGCAGCTTGGTAAGTGACTAAAATACCATTATTTTTTCAAACTATTTTCAAATATATAAGCAAATAGAAATTAAAATAATTTGTATTCTACTGGGTTATGACAAATGACTACATGATTGAATCTGAGAGCAAGGCAGCTTTATTTAAAATGTTTTGACATGTAACAAAAAAAAATTAGAAATTTAAATTTCTAAATGTACCACTCTGCTCCATGAGAGATGGCATGAGCATCGATAACTTAGAAGCAAGTGGGGTTCATTTTGTGGACTGTCATTTCCTACACAGATTAATTCTATTATGAGTTCTCCATCTCTTCACATAAAGTATATTTATTCATTACAAATGGAATTTTCATAAAAATTTTATAATGTGAAGACCATTTTAATCTTATTGGAGGCATCTGTTGCTTAGAATGATCTCACTCTTTAGCAATGTAAATAATTATATTCCAATTTACACTCTGAATAAATATGAGTCACTCAAAAAATGTGAATTATATTTGTACAAGCTAAGCTGCTTACAGAAGGCTTTATCTGGATACAGATAAATGAGGAATTGTTTAAAGAATTTTCACTAAATGTGAGAGGTGTAAAAGAAAATTTTCCACACGTACAATGACGATTTAGAAATATTGTAATATTCAGGAAAACAAACGAGTCAAAGGGAAGGGAGTACTAAGTGGGTCATATAGTGCAGAAGTGTTGGAAACGAGTAAGACAGGTTGAAGAATACTCTGTCATGCAAGATGTTGATAAGGAGAGGACTTGTCCTTTGGCTGTCGATAACCTGGCATCTCTGACAAGCACTTGGGTTAACTCAAGTCATCTTATTTCTGGAGCATTGGGAAAATCTATATATGCTTTTAATGAAACTTCTTATTTCATCCTTTGCTGTCAACAGGCAAGAGGACTTCTCTAGAAACCACAGGCTACTCCTTAATTTGCAGGCAGACCACAAATATTCCTGAGATAAAGCTACTCAAATTCTAAAACCACTTAAGAAAACTCTGCAGTGTATTCTCTCCTTTCTACCAGGTGAATGTAAGATGCACTAACGTACTGGAATGGAGAAGGCTCCCGCCTAGGGAATGACACCAATTCTGACATGAGAAGGAGAGTGGGAGGAGGGATCTAAACATCAAGAGAAGCCTTCAGTAACCAAACCTTCAAACAATCTTGACATGTTTTAAGTTGAAACTTATGTCATTTTTCACTCTCAACAGTCAAAAGGAATTCTCTAGAAATCACTGGGTAATCATTAAATTGTAGGCAAATCATGAATACTCCCAAGATAAAGCTACTTAAATTCTAAAGTCAGTCTAAAGGATCCCTAAAAAGAAGACCAAAAGTTCTTACTCAGTATATTTAAGTAGAAGCATACATTTGAGGTATTCAAAAGGGTCCACTGAAAAACTGACTCTCTCTCCTGAACATGGCCTCCAGTTTTTGTTTTTGTTTTGTTTGCATGTTTGTTTGTTTTTACAAGGGTACTGCACTAGTTACTCTTCCACTCCCGTGATATAACACCTTGACCAAGGAAACTTAGAGAAGAAAAGTTTATTTGGGGTTTATGGTCCAGAGGTTTAGAGACAATAACGGCAGAGCAAAGTCATGGTGACAGGAGGAAGAATGGAAGGGCTCATCTTGAGTTGTAAGAACAAAACAGAGAGAACAAACTCAAAATGGGGGGGGGGGCTTTTAAACTCTCAAGGCCCACCACCAGTGATGTACATTCTTCAAGAAGACCACACCTCCTAAGCTTCCACAAAGAGCACCACCAACTATGGACCAAGTATTTAAATGCCCAAGACAACAGGGGACATCTCACTCAAGCCACACATCCCACTCTCTGGCCCTCACAATAGCAGAGCTACATCATAAAGCAAAGTATATTTAGTTCAACTTTGGAATTTCTCATAGATTTTCAGGCACAATACTATTTAAAAGTTCAGAATCTCTTCTGGGAATCAAGGCAATCTCTTAACTATAACTCCTTATAAAATAAAAATTACATACACCTAAACAAATAATGGCACAGAATATATATTACTGTTCCAAAAGGAAAAAAATAGGGTAATAACAAGGAAATACTGAACCAAAACAAGACTGAAAAACAGCAGGGCAAACATCAAATTTTCTAATGCCATATCTGATGTCAAAGGGCTTAGACGACTCTGGTTCTCAAATTCTGCTGCCTGTAACATACATCTCCCTCTCCTGGGCTGGTTCCATGCCTCATGTGCAGCTTTCCTTTGCAGGTGTCTCATGCCTCTGGCATCTCTAACATCTTAGGGACTCCAATACAACCCAGGGTTCATTTACACAACTTCATACAGTGAACATTCAGGGCTCCTTCCTCTCTCGGAACCTCTAGGCATGGACTCCCCTGCCACATGTTGCCTGGCCTCAGTAGCCCTGTGAAACCACAGAGGAAGATTCTACAACCTCCGTATCTTTCATGGCTCTGAAGCCATCACCAGGTGAACAACACTGAGAAGGTTGGTTGTCAGCTTGGGATGTACCCTGGCCCCTTTGATCCACATTAGCAGCAGCTTTTTATTGAAGTTGCTTTCTTGAGGCCTAAGCAAACACTTATACTTTCTTTACAAGCTGGAAGCTTAACTGTTTAAGGTCTTGTCCCAAGGGCACCTTCCCTTTCTTGGACTGCAGATCTGACCTATCCTTAATGGCCCTAATCTCCTTAACAATTGCAGTCTCTCTTATAGTATAAGCCTTGGCAATAACATTACACTTACCAGTGTCCTTTTAATTTTTGTACATTTTGTATTTTTTCCTGAACCATTTTTTTTATTATAGACCTACTTAAGAGTGATTTCTAGTAAATAAGAGATTGAATTGATATTAAGCTGTCTTGAATCTCTTCTACTAAAAAAAATGAGTTCATTACTTTTAAATTTATTCTTAGGCAAGTTCACAGGGCATGGGCAGAAAGTAGCCAATTCTTTGCCCAAATTTCACAGATATAGTCTATAATCCAATTACAAATATTGTTCTACTCTGAAACCCCTTTAGCTAGACCTCAAGAGTCCACATATCTCTCAACACTACTGTCTTCCAAGATCCTATTACGCCCCATTAAGCCCTATTTACAGCTTTCAACCATTTTTCTAGTGCAAAGTTCCAAAGCCTTCCACATTCCTCCAGAAAACAATTGTCAGGTTCTTCACAGTAATAGCCCACTCTCTGGAACCAATTTCTGTATTAGTTATTTTTCTATTGATGTGATATGCACCATAACCAACACAACATATAGAAGAGTTTATTTCAGATTGTGGTTTCAGATGATTAGAGTCCATGATGGTTATCCAAAGGTATGGAAGCAGGAGTAGAAAGTGGGGGTTCACATCTTGAACCACAGGCACCAAGCAGAATGAACAAATTTGAAATGGTACAAATCTTTAAACACTCAAAGCCAACTCAGTGACAAACTACCTCTAATAAAAACAGACTTCCTAGGCCTCCCTAAATAGCACCAACAACTGGGGCCATGTATTCAAATGCCCAAAAGTATGAGTGATTCAAACCAACACAAATATTACTAACATTTTCCTTGTGGAATGACATTTATGCAAGTTCAAAGGCCAACATGCTATATGAATTTTCTGTATCTTTTTTTGTTCTGTTTTAACATTAAACCCTGGAGTGCATTTCCTTTTAGTACATTTAGAGTTTTCTGTCCTATAAGTGTATAGTAGTCCAACCTATAAATTATAGCAGACTTAATCCCTCTCCCAATTAGATATTGAAATTATAGGCAGTCTCTTCAATCAAAAGAATAATGCAATAAACTCCCTTGTACATTTGATCTGTTACTCATATGTAAGTTTTTTCTATAGACAGACCCAGAGTAGAATTGCTATACTAAAATATACAAAGATCAGTTTAAGAAATGGAAAATAAAATATATTCTCACTTTCACACATTCCCTCACTTTCCACTGAGACAAGATGAAGGATTTTATTAGTGTTCAAAGAAATGCTCAAAATAACTAGAACTTCTCTGTTCTCTAGGGAAAAATCTTTATTATTTTGTTTTTAACAAGTTATGTGGCAAAATGTAGCATGTGCTCAGACTATGTTTGAAGGTCTTACCTCACAGTGCTCTCGATAAAGACTCTGCAGTGACTTGATATCCTCAAAGGTAGTACCATCTGGCAGAGAAGAGATTTCAACTTCTCCAAACTCTGGAAGTGCTCGAGATGCATCTGTTACCATGACAACACAACAGAAAAAAGCTATTGTGGATCGTGTCAATTACAGATTAATGAGGGAAATTTTCAGAGGACTAAAAAGGAAAGAAAATTTGGAGACCAGAGTGCCAAAGATCACTAACTTTCAAATTAATATTTTCTAGCCAGAATTAGTAACATTATCAGCATGTATCATATGAATGAATGGAGTATATTTGTGAATTTCATATAAACTAAGCTTTACTCTAATTAAACTGGGCACTGGATACGTTCTTAGTAAAAGAAAAACAACCTGAGCTTGCCAGTAGTGATTTTACTTATTCTTATTATTGTGCTATCCAACCACATAAAAATAAACATAGCCTTAAACTCATTATGTTCATACCTTTTACATAATCATAAAATGAAGTCTATAAAACTAAAAGCCAAAAAGTAAAAAAATAACATTAAATTAACAACATTAATTTGATGTGATGGATGATGCTATCCTATACTCCAATCATCTCTCACACATGAACATGGTGTGAACTGCTGTAGTCTTCTGAGTATAACACCTACACCAATCTGCTCTTCCTGGTGGCTACCTGCCCCAATATACTTCTGCATTCAAATGACTATGACACTTGCTATTGCCCTCTCTTGATGACACTATAATTCACACATCACACACACACACTCTCTCACTTTTTCTCTTTCTCTCTTTTTTTCATTAGTCCTGGACAATTAGTAATGTACTTTGGTGAGTTCCTTACCATAAAGTCAAAATTAAACAAAGAATAACATTAATTTCTAAGTTCTAGGAAACCAATTTTTTTTGAGACAGGGTTTCTCTGTGTATCCCTGTTTTAAAATTTTTTTGCATATGACAACTCAACTACAGCTACAAAATAAAAAGTTGTAGTGTTTTCAAGCTCGATGGTCCATAAGACTACATGGAAATGTGGCCATAGCAGTGTGAAGGTCAGGAATGTTCTAACTTGAAAGTCTATTCCAGCTGTTTCTATTGGCAAGTGCACAAACACACACATACACACACACACACACACACACACACACACACACACACGCGCGCGCACCCATGCAGACACCCATGCACACACACATAAGCACACAGGCAGACACATACATGTACATACGCATAAGCACACACACAGAGAGACACACACATGCACACAGATACATAAACACACACCTGTGTGTGTACACATACACCCCAATAGCATCTCTTTATATTGGCCCACTGTTTGGAGACGATGCATACTCATCTGCGGAACAGCTAGCAACTGAACTACCACTTTTGCTTTTCTGGCTAGAGCATAAATATTCAAACAGGAAGCATTGTAATCAATTTAAAAGAATAAATTATTTTGTTTATAATTTTTATAAATTTATAAATGTTTATAATTTTTCTAATCTAAGACTGTGGATATGTAACTTTGTACACAGGAAATGAGAATTCTTTGGGACTGGACATCATTTCTGAAGTAAACACAACATGATTTTGATCACAAAAGCCAACTGTAATATAAACTCTTGAGAACACTTTCATAGCCCTGACCTTTTAAGGCAGATGCATTCAAGATTCCATATAGCTTAATATTGCAATAAAGATGAACTAGAACTATCATTTAATGTTATAGTTTCAGCACCAAATCACCTCCCCCATTATATGGAGTTAACATCTGAAGACATTCCACTTGGAGAAGAGACTACTATTGTTCTCTGCAAAATCCTAATAGCAACTACTATGCAACTATGCATTACACCTTAACATACCTAAAAACTGTTGATGATGTTGACTTTGGGCAATTACAGTTTGCTCAACAGATGTGCCTGTCTGTTGGCCACTTCCTGTGAAACCATCTGCAACCCCATCCACTTTCTGCATAGGCTTGTACCTAAAAATATTAGACGGGAAAAAACAAACAAACCAAATTATTCCTTGCTTTATTGTACTACCCAAACTTTTATGGCGTTCAGTTTTAGTCTAGTTCTGTCAATGTCTCAAGAAAGTTGCCAAATGTTTCTTCTTGATACTCTCATGAAGTCATGTACAGACATTTTTTTTTTCAAATTGTAAAAAGAAAAAAGGGAAGAGCAATCAGAAAGAAATTCATTTGCAAATATCCAGAAATTGATGTAAGAATGAAAGAATTATGAGGCATTTCTTTGGACAACAGAGGCAAAGATGCTCATGCCTATTGTCATAGCACATATTGTAAAAGTAACTTGTAGTGGCCATTGGCTTATGGTAAAAAATGTAAATACACTGGAACTTGACTCTGAACCAAGATCAAAGAGTTTGCAAAGAAACGAGGGCCTTTCAGTTAATATATGTAAACTAAGATCAATTTATAAATCTTATCATACTCCTCTTCGTACTTCCTAAAGCCTCTTATGCATCTCAACACATCCATCTCCTTTGATTCTTATCAACAGCTGCAAATATAAATGCCAGAAGCTTCAGTTTGCAACAAAATAAGAATTCATCTACAAACCTAGTTTATCTAATTAGAGATAAGAGGACTCAGTGGGATTTAACTCATGTTGGGGCACTTGACTAGCAAGCACAAGGCCCTGGGCTCCCCACAAGAACAGGAAAGAAATTATACACACAAAAAGAAATCAAAGTCAGAGAACAATATGCTTTTAGGCCCTAGTTCTAAACTTTATGTACATTCTTTGCTACTAAAATAGAGAAAATGTACTATAGTGGCAAAATACCCAGACTTCTTGGAGGCCAAATGTCACAAACATCATCACATCACTACTTTACCAGAACCATACCACCAGCACAACCATCACCACACCACCACACCATCCTTGCCACCAGCAGCAACACTACCTTCATCATGACCACAAACATCGGCACCACCATTAAAAACCACCAACATCCCGCAAGCATTAGCATGACTTCCTCACCACCATCACCACCATCACCATCATCACCAGCACCCACATCACCACCAGCATCAGCGCCACCACCAGTACCTGTACCACCAGCACAAACATTACCATACCACCACCCCATCCTTACCACCAGCACCACCATCATTAACAGCAGTACCACCATTACTGACACCACCATCATTAACAGCAGTACCACCACACCACCACAGGCATCAGCACCAGTACAGCCCAGGACCACCACCAAGAGCCTCTGCAAATCTCCCCAGACAAGTAAGTACAGGCTAGTTCGCAACAAGTATATTTTTCTTTTCTTCAAAATGTACTTTTCTTCATTTCAGACATTAAAAAAAACCCAAAAAATGCAAAACCTAAATATCATGAAGTTAATTATCTAGGAATATCTTCATTCACATTACAGAATGAAAGAACTGTGTTTGTCTTTCAATCCCCTTATTTCTAACTGCACTTAAAAAAAAAAGAACTTAGCATTGTTCACTACCCTGATAGGTGGTCATTATTAATGTCAATGTCCCTAACACCTGAAAAGGACAACTTAAAGATGTCTCAATTTTGTCTAAAGATAGTAAGTGATTGGACCTAGTCAACACCATCCAAGCAATGCTCAGATTCAGTCACTGAAAAAGAAAGACAGAGGATGAGAGAGGGAACGGAAAACATCATACTCATTATAGCTTTAGTGATAGCCTCCTCAAGCATAAAATATTGGTTGCTGTTCTCCGGTGATCAAAAGGAATACGACCTGGTCTTTCAGTTAGTGGGAAAACCTTCTGCTCCAAGAGTGTCACTCCTGATACCTCTCCTCCATATGGATCATGTTAGAGGAGTTTAGGAACATCTCCTGCCAGGTGGGCTGGGACCTGTGTGGGGCAGGAGTGGGCTCGCCATTTTGTGCTATAAGACTTGAATGGTTTCATGCTCAGGAAAGTTTTGTTTGTTTCCTCATTCATTCATTCGTTCATTCATTTATTCATTCATTCATGGCTTAATATGATTTTAGCTGAACTTTTTCAGACACAAAAATTCATGTGAAAAATAAAATCCTCTATTTGTTTAAGCATTGTTGCTCATGGTTAAGTACATTATCTTCGATGAAAATAGTTAAATTTGAATGATTTAAACTGGCAATACTTCCTAGAGATTCAAAGTTATTAAGTTTTAATGGTGGATTATGCAGGGACCATGATTTTGTCTAACTATTCTTAATCATGCTCTTTTGTTCTACACAGCATTCAGTCTGAAAGACATGAATTTGAAGGGCAAGTGAATCCAACCTGAAAGGAAATGATAGCTACTACCCTTGCACATTTTCCAAGGACACATGCTACATCACAGTCTACCTTTACAAAGTGCTCAGCAAACCTCCCACCTAAAAGCAAAGTTATTTGCTTCCTTAGGAAGACAGAGTTGACCAGTATCATAAGCAGTGGAGGTCTCTAAAGTAAAAGGATATCACATCTTAAAATATGCAGTCAAACCACAATGAATTACAACTAACACTTGCCTGTATACTAATAATGTTATTGAGTTGGAGGTACTAATTGAGGTATACAATATATGTGGGAGATAGAAAATGCATGAAAACAGCTTATGGGAGGAAAGAAGTTATATACATATACATTCTAAAAATACTTTAAGTCAATACTTAGGAAAAAAGAGAAGAAAACCAGAAAATACAGTTAGAACTGGGAAATGAGTGTCTCATTACAATCATAAGAGTAACAATAGCAGAATAAACAGTGGGTTGAAAGACAGACAAAGATGTCCTTTACATACTTCTCTTTCATAGTAATGGAGACTAGGCAAGCCAGAAACTCTGTGCCCCAGGCTGAAAGGTCTGGGGACAAATTCCAGGAGAGTTTTGTGCCATGAAGAATGACACCAGTAATGGATGGGGTGGCTCATGGCCAAGAGGGTTAGTGTAAGCATCGATGTGTGAAAGAGCCTCTCTATAGTACTAACTTTTGCTTTCCTTGTTGTGTCTAGAGCAATAACTCCACAGTGGCATATTCACAGTGTACTGCAGTCTAGCATTGGGTCAGTGCTTAGAGGAAATCCTCAAAGTCAGAAATTTTGGATTCAGGAAGACCAGATGTTCATTCTCTTGATTCTAAAGGAAATACCCATCAATTACCTCAGCTGCCTGGGTTTTTGCAAAGCAGGAGGACCAAGACAGTCACACTCAATAGAGACTAGACAAATACTTGTGATTGCTGATTCTTCCTAGCAGAGATGGCTAAGGATGACATATACTGGTCATTCTGAAGCTTTGTCATCAATATCTAGGAAGTTCCCACAAAAAACTAGCCTTATGCAACATCTACTCAATAGTCTTTGAGAATGGGGTTGGAGCTGGTTTTACTTTTAAGAGATTTTCTAAGTAGCTTGTATAGACCTAGTCCACAGGAACATCTTATCTCAAAACAGGCAACTTTAGTCCCATGTTGTAGAAATATATCCAACATTAGACAGCACATATTTCCCAAAAATCCATAAATTTTAATTTTTCCTGTAATATACACTAACTTTAAATGAATGGTCAAGATCATACTATAAATTGATCATAACACATATTAGATTAATTTATCAAGCATTAATTGAGTACTACATGTGATATGGCCCTGTGCAGGCAGGCTGTTTTAGCCAGGTGAAAGATAAACATAATATTTTAAAATTTTTAATTATTGATCTAACATAAAAATTCTACATTATCTTAATTCTGTTGAAATTTCAACTAACCTTTTATTATTAAAAGATGAATTTTGAATCTTTTACCTCACTTTTCTCTTCATTAAATAATCACCAAAAATACTACATTGTAAAAGGTAGAGAAAATTGATTGAAAAGATACCACTAACAAATCTGTATATTGAATCCTGTTGAAATAACGAGCTCTTCAGTACTTAGAACTATACCCTCATGTAACCCCATTTACTTTGCAAATTACTTCTAGGTTAAGTTTTCTCATAGTAGGCTCAGGGGCATTGAGTTATGCATGTTCATAGGCGAGATGGACATTTTATTAAAGGAGGCAACAGCTCTTGGTTTCAAAATTAGTAAGGAGCAAATGATCATTTTAACAGCTTGCAACTCCATGGGCAATCAGAGCGAACACTGCTAATGATTAAGAAATGAAAGACGCTCTGATGTCTTAATAGCTGAGTATGCTTGCAGCCTGTCACTAACACAGAAAACTTGTAAATTGTTAGGAATCTGCCCCCATGAGGTTGGCTGTAGCTGTTATTTAGGGCTTGGATAGCTGTGCTCTACTGTAGAAGCAATAGTCTGTCAATAATCTCACAAGCACAGACATCCATGCAGTCCAGTGGAAGGCAGAGAGCATTACATTGTCATCATTACTGGAAAGAGTTTTCAACACACCAAATGAAACATTTGGAAAAGTCCTTTCAAAACTGCTGAAAAATTCCCAAGCAAAAGTCAACATAAGAACTATATAGGCAGTAATTATTTGTATTTATAATTCCTGAAAGTATGAAAGTAATTTGCAAGAACAAATTAAAAAATGCCTAGCTAGCAATAATAGCAATAGGTTAGATTTTCTACTGGTTTCTTATAATTCTCTTTGGAAAAATTGCCCAAGGGTTTTTAGATTGGTATTGGAAATGAGCTAGGTGACATAAACATGAATGAATCAGAAGAAAACAGTGAATGTGAAGAGATCCATTCTTTTAGAAGAGTAAATGAGTCTTAGAAGTCACACCAAATATTTAAATGACTTATACCACCAACCTTGCTGACTAAAGATAGGATTTCATGGGCTGGAGAGATGGCTCAGAGATTAAGAGCACTGACGGCTCTTCCAGAGGTCCTGAGTTCAATTCCCGACATCCACATGGTGGTTCACAGCCATCTATAATGAGATCTGGTGCCCTCTTCTGGCATGCAAAGTTGGCAGAATGTTGTATACATAATAAATAAATAAGATTTAGTTTAAAAAAATAGGATTTCA